CCGGTTTAAATAGTTATCCCGTTGTGGTCCATAGAATAAACATGTTGCCTCCTGAGTTAGTGTGTGTCTCTCCGTTAATCCACTATATCTGGTGTCAGAAGTGCTTTAAATAATTAGAAGAAACTTCTAGTGGTGTGCGATGCTCACGAGAAAAGAAGAAAGCGGGGAAGTGATTCCCCAGACAGCCCCGGGGACTGCGACCCCAGATAATTTTCCTGAGGCGGCTCTCCCTGGCAGAACAGCAGGAGGAAACCAACGTCTCCGCGCTACCAGTCGTCAGGACGAGCACGCCGGATGCGCAGCGCCCGCCTCGCGGACCTGTTGTCCGCAGCAGCGTTGGTTGCAGAGTTGGACATGGAGGACCCGGAGGAAGACGCCGGAGTGCAAGAGCCACGTTCGGACAGCCCCGCCGCTGTTGACTACTGAGCGTGGGAAACGGGGTAGCTCCAGCCCGCGCAGGCGGCCGCCATCTTGCTGGCTGGGCACGGAACGACTCCCGCCAAATTGGATCTCCCACAAAACTCGCGCAGGGAAGTGCCATCCCTTAAGAAGCGGCTATCGTTTGTGAGAAAATTTACTGCCGCAGGGGGTGATTGGGCGGCATTTCAGCGGCATTTTACCACCACCTGCGAACTGGCTGGATGGACCGATGTGGAGGTGCTACAGGCGCTCCCGACCACCTTGGTCGACGACGCCTTGGCGGCATTTTACGCCATCCCGCCGAAAGACAGAGCGACGCTGCCACACGCCTTCGCCCAGATGGCGGCTATCTTTGACCCGCCATCCAATGAGCGGCAAAAGTATAGCTACGCGAAGACGCTCCCTCGCCCCTTGCCTTCCGCAGTGCGTTGATTTCGCTGGTGCAAGCCGCCTACCCCAAGACGGAGAAAGCAGGGTTGGACTCTTTGGTGCTGGAGCGCATGTTGACCCTGGCCCAAGAATTGAATGTTTTCATGCCCGCCACGGAAGAGGACGACTTATCTTTACTCAAGGTTGCGCAATGCATTCAAGCACACTTTAACTTGTGGCGGCGAGTTGGGCTGGCTGCTTCCAGAGGACTTTCGGGGAATACGGAGGTGCCTGAAGGCACAGAGTCCTCCCAGGTCTGTGCATCGGTCAACGTTGATTCTCGCGGGAAAGGCGATGCAGATCGGTGAGGGGAGCGAGAACAATGGGGTGGGACTCTTCTTCGTCCAAGGAGTGCTCCCGACGTCTGTTTTAATTGCGGCCTGCCGGGTCACATCTCTAGGGGATGCCACGCCGACCAGGGGAAATTCTCCACGATGGTGTCATCTTCAACCCTACCGACCTCCGCTCCTCAGAGTCCACAGGATTCTGGCACGTAACACCCATGAAACCACCGGTTGAACCGACCGGAAGCCAGCCGAGGAGAGCGGAGTGGCCAGCATCCATTCCTTCTCCTCCTGCTTTTCCTTCTTCCCTGGAGGGGCTGCGCCCATTGGGCCATCTTCAAGTCTTCCCCGGGATCCCCGGGGGAACCGTTCCTGCCCCACCTAGGGGTCCGGCGATGAGGACCCGTTTGAAATCCGTCTATTTTAAATAAACCACCTCCAACGTCCTATTTATCCCAATGCCGTCTGTCGGGGGTCGCATATACGAGTCAGATTGTGTTACCGGTTGGACTGGGTCCTTCCTGTGCTCGTGGGTTGTTGACACACTGATGGGTATTGGGTGGTGTACATTGTCTGGGGGTTGGGTTGGTTATTGTATGTTCGCCGAAATTTTTGTAATTGTTTTTAAAATCTTATTCTGTAAGTGTACGTATGCTTTTCGACGACGGTTGTTATTGTTTTTATCGTTATTATTGCCATTTGTTGTTGGAGGTAGATCATCCTGTTATTTGAGGTATGGAGGTCAGCCGGAACGGTTGAGTTTTATAAGGGGGGGGGGGGGGTGATGTAGTGACGTAGAATGGGTCACTACGGCGCCTAGCGCCAGTTACTGATAGAGAGGGGAACTGGGAGTGTAGTAGCACTCTCTCCCAGTAAGGGCATGCAATGTCATGGAACAGGTCCCTAGGGGACGTAGTGCTGGTGGCTGGCAGAGCGGGGCATCTGAGAATGTAGCAGTCCGGATGGCTGGCAAGGGCATGTGATAGGCCAGGGTAAGGATGTGGGCCAAAGGTGACAGAAGGGACACGTGGGGTATGGCCCAGAACCTTCTGGTAGGTTCTAGAAGGGGGCATGGCCGAGGGCGGAGCCAGGCCACGCTGAGGGGCATAGAAGGGAGGTCCCGAGGCTGGGTCAGGGCTGTCTGCTGGAATGGAGTACCCAGTGCTGCGTCTTCTCCTGGGTCTTCGGTCTTCGTGCTCGCCATAGTGGGTCAGGCAGTGTGACGACTGTCCTGACCCAGTTTATGTCGTTATGCCGTTGTCGTCCATAGAATAAATGTGTTGCCTCCTGAGTTAGTGTGTGTCTCTCAGTGAATCCACTACACTAGTACAGCACAACATCCACAATATTTACAATCTCGGTGGCGGCTTTAATGACACATTTACATGTACGCGATCGAACCAAAAAAAAACGATATTATGGATGATATTGGTCGCGAAAGCTGACGTGTACATACTGTACTTTGATTTATATTTATTTTTAGTGACTTGCTTACCTTTTTTCCATAAACTTTGCATTCCTATCGTGGTTTTGGTATTGTTTGTTGTTGTAACGTTCTGACCCGCCCAAACTAGACATCTGTGATGAAAAAAAGAGAGCTTCACAGCTCATCGGATTTCTCCTGCAGTCTAAATAAAGATTCTGATTGTGAATGTGTCTGCACGCACGTGCGTATGAGTGTTATGTGTGCGCGTGGGCGAGCGAGCGAGCGTGCATGTGTGTGTGTGTGCCAAGCACGTTCCTAATAAGGGGCTCGTTTTCCCGACAGCTGTGGGAACAACCTGGCAGGGACATTCCAACTACACACAACTCACACACGCACGCACGCATGCACACACACACATACACACACACACATATATACGTATGTAGACATATGTATAAACGCACAGACTGGCACAAAAGTATACAATTTCCATTACACTACACACAACTCACACAAAGATAAAAAAATACAGATACCCCATATAGACAGTTGGGGAAAGTGCTGTAACCGAGCACCTATGAAGGCCGGTACGTTACACATCGCACCAGGTACTCATTTGAGGCTGAGCCAACCTAGGGGAGGCCCATGACCAGTTCAGCTAATACGTCACCGGTGTTGGCCGTCAGCGGGAATCGAACTGGGGACGCCGGGTTCACAGCGCAGTGCGCTAACCGCTGCACCACCGCTCCCCACACACGCACGCATGCTCACACACACACACATATGTATATGCGCACAAACTGCCACAAACATATACAATATCCACACACGTTGTTGTCCTTCCCCTCCCCCGCACCTCCGATCAGCACGGTTGGCTACGTACGGTGCGAAAGAAGTTCAACGTACATATATTCATACACGCATATATGAAGGGCCCACCCCCCAGGATGATCCTGGGGCGGAAAATTGGCCCATTTGCCCCCCCACTTCCCCCCCCCCCCCATTTTGTGTGGCGCTGTCTATATATGCCCTCTGACACACATACATGTACACGCGTGCACACACATAAGATAACAAAAAGATAAAGATCCTCCGAATAGCCTTAACCAGACCGTTGGGGCAAGTGCTCTTAGCAAGTAGCACCTATGAAGGCCGGCACGGAACACGAGCGGGCGGATGGCCAGCACCACGCCCGGCCGAAATTATTTCCCAAGTTGCGATATTTACACACCGCACTAGGTACTCATTTGAGGCTGAGTCCACCTAGGTGACGCCCATAACCGGTTCAGATAATCATCACTGGGTGTTGGCCCGTGAGCAGGAATCGAACTACACACGCATGCACATGCATGCACAAAGGCAAATATCCCCCATCCTTATAGCTTGTACAGGCTGTTGGGGCAAGTGCTGTTAGGGAACACCTATGAAGGCCCAACAGAGTGCACACGGGGATGGGTGGCCACCACCACCTTTGACTCCGCAGGTGCCGACGATTTTTCTTGACACAGCGCCAGGTGCTCAATGGAAGACTGAGTCAACAGATGAGAAGGGCCAAGAACCGGTTCAAATATTCGTGGCCATTATTGGTGGTGAACGGACATCGAACTCGGCGGGCCAGGTTCGTAGCACAGTGTGCGCTAACCACTACACTGCTGCCCCCCCCCCCCCCCCACACACACACTCTCGGGTTGATAAATGATAATCGATAAACCGGTTATCGATCTAAGCGAAAACATTAAAACGGCACGGCACACGTAATTCTGATCGGTTAAAATATTTCCCCACCCAGCACACCACATCCAGGATGCCTGTGGCTGTGGGAGGCTACTAGCCACGTGTAACCCCCTCCAGTCTCGATCACCATTACTCCGCTGTTATTTTTATTTTACCACGTAAGGCCCGCTAAATCATGCAGCTCTTTGTCAGAAGCGACCTGGCCACAAGCGGTAGCTCAACAAAGTGGCTTATCACGTGGACATTTAGCGCAGCCAAATACTCGAAGCGCATGTTTCTAAATGTGGAAGGAAAAACCAGTGGACCCGAAGAAAAATCCACGCGACCACGGGGATAGAGAAATATGCAAACTCCAAATATACATCAGGCGTCAGGATGGAACCCACAACCCCCTGTATGCCAGGCGAGGTAGTTAACATCTCCTAGCCACCATGGAGCCCTCGTGCGGCTCGCTGTATCAGCGGACCAACACCACAAACACAACCCGCACACATAATAGAGTTTTTTTTGGTTAGCTACATAAATATAAATGTATCCTTAAACTCGCTACCACCGGACACAGCCAATTAGTAACGAATTGGTGAAACATGCCAATTAGTTACCAGTTCAGCACGCCGGTGTGTTGGAGAGTAAAATCGACAACATTTAGAATTCGACGGCCGGGCAGGGTCGGCCGGGTGGGACCGGGCGGGCAGACCGCCACGTACCTCCACGATGTCGGAATTGGTGCGGCTCTCGTGCGGCTCGCTGTACTCGGTGTACTTGAGCAGCACCTTGTCCATGTCGGTGCTCGCGTACTGGAAGAGCTTGCTCGAGCTGTTGAAGATGATGAGCGCGATCTCGCAGTCGCACAGCACGCTCAGCTCGTACGCCTTCTTCATCAGCCCGAACTTGCGCTTCGTGAACGTCACCTGCGGCGCAGCAGCAACAGCAGCAGCGGAGAGAGAATGGGCGGCTGCGGCCTGTGCCAAAGGCGGTGCTGGCCATCGCTATCCCCTTGTGCACCGTGTTGGCCTTCATAGGTGCTCGCTAACAGCATTTGCCCCAACAACCTGTATTGGCTATGTGGGGGATATTTGTCTTTGTAGGTGTGTAGTGACATAGAATCGGTCACGTAGCAGCATAGCGCTGGCTGCTGGCAGGGAAGGGGATCTGCAGCTACAGCAGCCCTGACTGTCAGCAGGCCACGTGAGAGGGATGTAGGGGAAAGGTCACGGAAGGGTCACATCGAGAACCCCCGAGTAGGTTCCAGAAGGGGGGCGTGGCCAGGGGCGGGGCCAGGCCACGCTGACGGTATAAAAGAGGCCCCGGGAGGGGAGCTCGGGGCTGTCGTGTGGAGTAGGGGGATCCCCGTTGTGCTGCTGCTGGAGTCTTCACCATCTCGGCGTCGTCAGTCAGGCAGTCTGCCAGCTGCCCTGACTGGGAACCGTAGTTATTAAAGTGTGAACTGTTAAGGCCGTTAATAAACAGTGCCTCCTACTCTTAGTGTCTCTGAGAGTCAGTCACTACACGTGTATGAGTGTGTGGTTCGATTCACTCCTTTATTTATTTTGTGCCGATCCGCGGTACAGCAGTGGAGAGAGAATGGAATGCTGCTGCAGCTGCGGCTGCACGTTCATTCGTTCAATTAATTCCGTGCCTGTAATTAGCAGCTTAGTCGGATCGATGACGACCAATTTGTGGGGGGCACAACCCCTCCCCTCCCCAATGCATGGGCAGCATTGCAGCTTGAATCATCACCGCCACCATCATCAGCCGTGCACGAAGTGACGTGAAATTGAAGTTGTTGATCTGAATCTACATTAGGAGGCATGCAAAAGAAGAATCTGTGCACGGCTCCTCTCGCAGACGACACCGGAGCCGCGAAGAGACGCATCGCCTGCCCGTTCTGGGCCCTCGTCGAGATGGATTGTCATTTGTTGCTGCTGCTGATTATTATTATTTGTTATGATTATTACTCTTCTGCTTGTTTACCCCGGAAAGTTTCACTGCATCTCCGGCCTCTCTCTTTTTTTTTCCAGAAGGGTCCTGCCGAGTGTTTTGTACTCGGGGGCGATGTTGCTGCTGTGCGTCGTCCCATTAGAAACATTTGCAGGATATTTTTAACTTTTTTTTTGCGTTGAGGATGTTTGGCCAATGTTTGGCCAATGCCAGTTCGATTTTTGTGGGGTTTTTTAAAAAAATGTTTTAGCTGTGGGAGGAAACCGGAGGATCCCGGAGGAAACTCATGCAGAACAACCTCCACACGGATATGAAATCGAGTCAGGCAAATTCGTGCTGTAAGGCACAAGTGTTGCCACAACACCGCCCAACCACAGGCTTCTATGACTTGCCAGTCAAAAGATGAGTTCTGCTGATACACTGTAATTGAAGCTGATGATGAAGTTGCAGCTGATGCTGCTGCTGCTGTTGTTGATCATGATGCTAACATTTACGATGATGTGAAAACGAGCGATTATGTTGATAAATCTTCAACGGCTGTTGTTGATGAGTTCTTATGCACCTCATGATATTGATAATGATGCTGCTGCTGCAGCTGATGATATCGAGGGAGCTGCAAATTCTGGCAATGATAGTGGTGTTGGTGCCAACGATAACGGAAAAGTTACAGATGGCGATAACGATGAAGACGCAACTGATGATGATGATGATGACGGCAATGGTAAGAACCTGTTGTGAAGTTCTACACATATACAATGATGAAGCCGTCTCAGATGCTGCTAATAGCGATGCTATTGATGATCATAGTGACTACAGTTATCATCGCTTACAACTTAGTGATAGATGGTAATGCAATTGACAAGAGCGGCAATTATTGTTGATTTCTCTCATCGTGAATTTCGTAGCTTTGCTTTATCTTGGCTTCATTGCTCTACCAACTTCATTTATGTTTGGATTTTGTCATCTGGGTGACCCTGGTCGCTCTTGTAAACGAGACTCAGCCTGGTCTCCCGAGGTCTCAGCTGGTTAAACAAAACAACATTCGTGGCTAACAAGAAGACGGCACAACCAATGACATCTGACAAACCGGTATCACCGTCACAAGTTATAAATGATAAGAATACATTGTTTTGAACCATCAATTATTATCATTATTATAATCATCAGATCGGTTCAAGTGTCGGCACTTGGTGGGATTGCATCTTAGCGGGGATATCAATATCGAGGGGTGGTGACAGCGGTCTGGGCGAAGCTTTCATCCAAGCAGTGAATGTTCAAGTTCAACAACTTATTTATTTGACCACGTGAGACGTCAAGAGACCACAATGGGTCTCGTGCGCGACAGCGACCTGGACTGGCCGACGTCCAACGAATTCGCATCGAAACCGACGGGAGAGAGTCGCGGGCAGCAACGGGGCCGTAAACATGGCAAGAGGCGCCACTGTACATCTCGCGGGAGCGAGGCTGCCTGAGCGATGCCGGGAATGGAGTTAAGAGAAGAGGGGGTGGTGGTGGGTGGGTGGGTGCTGTGGGAGGGTGAAATAGTGCTGGACAGGGGAGACCGAGGCTGTGGCGGCGTTGGCACGGGCCATGGTGCACGAAATTTCAGGGAGGGAGAAGGCCCCCCCCCCAAGTCCAATCCATCGTTGCGGGCTGTGCGGAGAGGGAGAGATTATACAGAACGCGGGCCGAGATCTCAGTGAATCAAACTGACACTCGCTCGGGCCGCCGAGTTCATAGCGCCGTGCTCTATCCACTGCAGCGTTACTCGGCCACGCTCTTCACGCCGGCACTCGCTACCACTCCGGTATTTGATTTGGCCAAACATCCCCCCAATGGAGGACACCCTCCTGTAAGCAACAACAAAAATGTGTGTTTTGGCTTCAGTGAGGCTTTCCTGGATACTTAACGGCATTGTTATTTATTATGTAATTTAGAGGGGACATTTTTTTTGTCACTTAAATTTGTTATTTAAGCTCCGAGATTGAGCATTTTTAGTCCGTCCGGCATGCGACGAACGGGCTTTGTAGGGCATATAGGCGCAGTGCCCCGAGTGTGGATAAGGTGGGCGACTGAAGTGACGTGCGGTAAAGTCAATGGCTGGGGAGGCACTGGCTCGTGCCAGAGCCAGATTCACACACTGAGGGGCGTGTCCTCACTGAGGGGGGCGTATCTTCACTGAGGGGGCGTGTCCTCACTGAGGGGGGCGTGTTAGACACGTCCCCCTCAGTGAGGCAGATGTGATAGCTGCCTCCCCTGGTGCTTTTTCATTGCAGTTTCATGACGAGACCAGCGAGCCTAAATATCTTTATACACATACGTGAAATAAGTTAGCTGGAGTATGGAAGGCGAGGAGATGAAATGAAGGGGTCTACAAACATTACATTGGTGGCATACTGAGATAGTAACAGGCACGCGCTGACTGCCCGCGCTCCATCCAGTTACTGAGGTGTTGCGCAATCAGAGGGGAGGCTGAGCTCGTCGCTGCCTCACCTCTCGTCTCTCCCTGTATTTGCAGCGGAGCTGCGCAAATTTGGCGATTTTGACTATAAAAATTATTGGAATCGTACAGAAATGACATTTATAACACAGATCAGTGGAAAAAATTCTATTTTTCGTTGATAATTTTTTACTTTTCGTAACAGCTATTTTAATTGGAGTTTGGCAGGTGAGGCTGTGCCTCCCCTGCCTCCCCTGACCGCACGTCCCTGTTCAGAAGTAGCTGTAGTAGTATCACGCTGCAGGGGTGTCCTCTAACACAGGGTGATGCACTGCTCGCTACGGGAGTGCACTAGGGGGCCATCCATTTAGTAGGTACGCAAAACTCTGTCAAAACTTGACCCCTCCCCCCCTCCCTGTACGCACGCGTACTTTTTACACCCCCCCCCCCCGAATCCTATAAAACGGCCGATATTTAATCCACGTAGAAAGGATCAAGGATTAATACTATTAACGTGTTTAAGCAAACAGATAGTCCACCGCCGGCTGCATTAAAATATTAAGTTGCGTACCTTTAACAAGTTTGCCTAAGTGTCCACGAGGTTCAAACGCCAGGCCGAGCTTTACACACAGCTTTGTACAAACAGTTATACTTGACCGTGTTATCCAATCCTGACTGGTTATTCAAAAACACGTCTATTGTGATATTAAAACACAAGTAAAACTCGGTGAAGGAGTCTCTATATAAAGTGCGTCGACTGAACATCTGCTGTGACAGTAGCCCAATGTGCAGAGCAGTGTTAGTACTGATGTCGGCAGCTAAAACCTTGAGCCAGATGGCAGGACGTGGGATCATCATCCATGGGGCAGGTCGCCAGACCGTGTCAAACTCACTGCTGAGCTGCGTGATAGCTGCAGTCAGGGGCACGGTGACACACGAGTGACAACCTCGCCCACAGTCCCACTTCTCCCGGCAGGACTTGTCTGACAGCTGAAGAAACTGAACTGTGGCTCATTTGAAGGTCAATGTAGACAAATTATTATCGAGGCTTCACCTCCCCCCCCCCCGTTTCCTATGCGTACAATGTCAGTAGACCCCCCCCCCCCATACGCAACCGTACGCATTTGGGTTAACCCCCCCCCTCCTCCCTCCATGCGTACGTACTAAATGAATGGACCCTAGCTGTAGTATCACGCTGCAGGGCTGTTCTCTCACACAGGGTGATCCACTGCTCGCTGCGGAAGTTCCAAGTGGGAATTCTTCATTCATTACTCGACGCCGAAAGTACAACTGGGATATACTTGGGTAAAACAAAAAGTTTGTTTAACAATCAATTATCAAGGATTATTTTAAATCGTTTGTGCCATTTCTCCACAAAGACACGATCAGTGTGTCTGTGTTATCCTCTTTGTACACGCATATCACCGTATTGTCCGGATTATAAGACGCGCCGAAAAAGACGCACTGCAAACTTGTACCAAGGTGGCAATAAAGTTTTTTTGCAAATCTGGTCTCACACAAAGACAAAGATCCCCCGTATAATCCTCAACAGACTGTTGGGGCAAGTGCTGTTAGCGAATGGCACCTTGCAAGGCCGGCAGGGCCAGGCGGTGGGCAGCATCACGGGCACACCACGCAACTACCAGCGCTACAAACACGCACAACCCCCAACGTTAAATTACAGAGCGGGTGTCGGTGGATGAAGTGCATCGTATCGTTCAGAGAACACGGTAACTACCTCCCCACGAAGCGCGCGCGTGCGTGCGCGTGCGTGTGAATTGGCTACGGAGAACTTGCCGGTGAACGCGCGGGCGTAACAATCGCCGTGCGTCACGTGGGGAGCGGCAGTGCGCTGCGCTACGAGCCCGGCGACCTGAGTGACGCTTATCTGTATCGGTCCTGGGCCTCCCCAAGGTCGACTCGGCCTCAAACGAGTACCTGGTGCGGTGTGTCAACACCGCCATTGGGGAGACAAAGGCGGCCGGGGGCGTGGTGCTGGCCACCCACTCGTGTGCCGCGTCGGCCTTCGTAGGTGCTCGCCAACAGCACTTGCCACAACAGTCTGTTGAGGCTATCCGGGGGGGGTGGGATCTTTGTCTTTGTAACAATTGCCGTATGTACACGTGCGCGCGCGTGCGTGCGTGTGTGTGTGTGCGTGTGTGTGAAACGTACCTGTCTGTTCCTCTCGTCCACTATTCGCATGATTTGGATCTTCTTACGCCCCATCGTCTCGCTCACTCAGATGTTCCACCAGGGCGGCCTCAAACTCTTCCTCCCTCCTGCACCCTCCCCCGGCACCCCCAACCCAACCCACCGGACCCCCCCACTCACCCACCCCAACTTCTCGCTTGCACGCTCCAATTTTCTTCTCCCGCTCGTGTTGGTATCTATTGCTCTCTCTCTGTCTCTGCGGCGGTGTTGTCACTCTTCCTCCTCGCCCTCAAGGTTCTGTGTAACGACATCACCACCAATCCGACGAGCACACAGGAACTGTTCAGCCGCGTCTCATTATAAACGAAACTATTTTTTTTATTTTACCAGGTAAGGCCCACAGAAGCGACAAATTATAGCTCAACCATGTGGCTTATCACGTGAAACTTTACAGCGGCCACATTCTCTAAACGCGTGATGTTGATTCTAAATTTGGGAGGGAAAACCGGAGATTCCTGAGAAAAATCGACGCGAACACGGGCAGAGAGATGCGCAAACTTCAAATATACAGCAGGCGTCGTCAGGGTCGGGATCGTGCCCACGACCTCCTGTAAACCAGACGAGGTAGTTAACATCGCGGCGCCCGTTATAAGGAAAACAAGGACACGGCCAATTTACGAACGAACGCACAACGAAACGCGCACTACGTTTTACTAGAACCCCTGTTTTACATTTTTATTTACTGATGTTAATTTCATAAAAAAAATTGTTTCGCAAGATCAATAAGATGGATAGATATTTTAAAGCACTCTTGTTTAGAAACATATCTCGCTCCAGATGTTTGTTTACGTGCATACAGGGATGTACTCGATGTAAAACTCATTTCTTTAGAACTGCGTTTTGGGTTTAGTTTGTTGTGCTTTTCCCGCAACTCCGATTAACACGGTTGACTACGTACGGTGCAAAACAAGTTCAACATACACACATTAATAATGCATTCAGGACCACAATAACTAAAATTAATGCGTAAAAAAATATAATTCATGCAAGTTGAGTACATTTTACCAATTAGAATTGTAAACAACCGAGTCGTGATCTTTGACCCAAAACTCCAAAGGTGACTTGAACTTTAGTTTAAGCGAAATCTCAAAACAAGACCCATCGTGCTCACTACAAGGGCAAAACAAAGTGCCCTACGCACTCAATTTCATAATTCTCATTTGCCACGTGTGAGCACTCTTTGCGTACGTACATCACTTCCCTTCAAAACAGAAGATCCCCCTATCGTCTTAACATACTTTTTGCGGCAAGTGCTGTTAGCGAGCAGCACCTATGAAGCTTCTCTCTCTCCATCGAGGGGGGTCGTGGGCCAGCCCCACGCTCGGCCGCATTTGTCTAATTTAAGGCTGAGTCGACCTTGGGGAGCCCCAGCACTGGTTCAAATATTCGTCACCGGTGTTGGCCCTGAAATGTACCGGGTTCGTAACGCAGCGCGCTAACCACTGCACCACCGCTCCCCATAACAAAGCCAAAGATACCCCGTATAGCCTTAACAGACTTGTTGGGGCAAGTGCTGCCCTCCCGCCTGCCCGCCCCCAACAACAACAGGAAGGCAGCACTGTTGTGCATTTGACATTTGAACCCGAGCCGCGGTGCCACTTCCTGTGCGCCACAAGGCCTGGGGCTGGAAGTCACTTGGCCTGGTTGTATCCAGGACACGAGGACAACCCTGCTCACACGAGCTTCCTTCCTAAGCCCTGTCTGAGGATGGGGAGATGGGAGGGTGGTTGGGGGGTGGAGTGCTCGAGGGAGTGGAAGACATGGGAGTGGATCCAGCCCAGTAGCATCAGGAGGACTGGAGAGGGCCAAGCATCCCACCTAAATGTAAACTACCAAACTATTACTCTCTGGTTCTTTCGGTAAAGTCACGTAGGTAAAAAAAATGAAATTAACATTAATAAAAATAAAATAATAAAATCACGACGTTTCGGGTGGGACCGTCACAGCAAGATTTGCTGCATCAAATCTGGCTGTGACGGTCCCACCTGATTGACGGAGACTTGTGTTGCCTCCGAAACGTCGTGATTTTATTATTTTATTTTTATTAATTTTAATTTCATTTTTTTACCTACGTGACTTTACCGAAAGAACTAAGAGTATGAATCCTTGCAGTCACGAAAGCTTCAAATCTAGAATTACCAAACTATTACTTTCGGTAAAAAAAATGAAAGAAAATTAAATAAAACACAATCTCTCTATGTGACTTTACCGAAAGAACCAAATCGATGCCAAACTATTTAAAACATTTTTTTACCAGGTAATGTTCACTGACCTCTGTAGCTCTTTTTCAGAAGCGACTTGGCCACAAATGACATCTCAACGAAGTGGGCTTATCACGTAGAATTTTATAGCAGCGAAAGATACGCACGCTCCAATTATGCAACGAGGTTAGGATCGAACCCACGCCCTCCTGCATACCAGACGAGTGAGTTAACATCTCGCCAAGTCAAAAAATATTTTGTTCGAATGTCTCAAATCTTTCTACAATATTAAACATACGTTGTCATAACCGATCACACCCACAGACATGCGGAGGCGTCCTCATCATTTGCAAGCTTCATCTGATTTATATACGAACCGTCTGCAGTAGTTGGAGGCTTTACAGAACGCGAGCATTTGTGCAACTTATTGATGGGGCATCGCAGCCTTTACATCGTGGTGGTGATAATGATAACAATTACACATTTGTCCAGGAAAGGGGAGCGAGAGCAAGAGCAGATTACACTGTAGACAAACGCAGACTGTATCATTACTCATTCTGTTTAAGTGTCTGGAATTTGTTTTAAAGTTTGTTTAGCATTGACCGGGTCATCACCCCCCTCCTCCCCTTTCTGAGTGTCTGTATGGCCCCCATCTTTAACAAGTAAACCCGTAAAAACTAAGTTTTTCACTCTAAATCCTTTATATGCGTGGCGGCTAGAGTTCTCTCGTCCTCTGGCTTGAGATGGCTGCACTCTATGGGTCAGATGATTGTCTGCCAGTATTAAGCAATTGGTAATTAAATATTTAATTAGTTTTCCCTAAACAGTGTAAAATTTTGGGAAAAAAATGTCACGAAAATTAATTGTCACACACAACGAGTCTGTGTGGAAAATGTCAGCTCGATTGGATCACGGGAAGTGGGTTAAAAAACGAGCGAAAGATTTGCACGGTCCTAAGCAAGCAAGCACGCAAGCAAGCAAGCGAACTTAATATAAAGGATTTAAAAAACAAGGTATCGCTACCTTGTTGGTGGACACTATTTAAAACTTTTTATTTTATTTTACCATGTATGGCCCACTGAACTATATAGCTCGTTTTCCGAAGCGACCTGGCCACAAATGATAGCTCAACGAAGTGGCTTATCACGTGGAAATTTATAGCAGCCAAATACTCTAAACGCGTGTTTCTTAATGTGGAGTGGGAAAAAAATCGGAGGACCCGGATAAAAATCAACGCTGCCACGGGGAGAGAGACACGCAAACTCCCAATATACAGGCGTTGGGATCGGGATCGAATCCATGACCTCCTGCATACCAGACGAGGTAGTTAACGCCTCGCCACCGTCCAGTGTTCTTCACTCATTTTCAGAGAGGGGGGGGGGGGACACTTACGCCGATAAGACATCGTCAGTGTGAGGGCTGTCACACATCTAAAGCCATTGCTGGGTTTGACAGCAGCACAATGATGATGATGATGTGGGGGTGTTTTCACATCTGTTGTGTATTGTTGGCTGCCTGCAAGCCAGGGGCCGCATTAAAGGCCATCAGGACCCGTCAGCAGCCCACGGTGGCCTTGCGATGAAGAACGCCGCTCGAAGCTGATGGTAGTGGCAGTGTGGGCAGATTGGCGACTGAGTCAAGGTGACGTTCAGAACGACACAGCTTCACACCGACAGCTGGTTCATATCGGATCGTGGAGAGGTGTCGTGACGTCAGGTCACAGACGGACCGTACTAATGCATTAACGCTTTCAAGTTTAGTCAGAAAGTGATCCATAAAAAATGCTGAACATGTCATTGTCAACATCGGCCGTGGTCAATCCACTGCTGGATGAAGGCCTCCGTAAGCCACGATTTACTCGCGTTTCTGCGATGGATTGACAAGGGGCTAGATGGACCCAATTTCAAAGCAGTATATTTCACGATGGCAACATGTTACAATTACAAAAAAAGTTGTATAAATGCTCTATTGTGCCCTCCACCTGCTGTACGGACAACATCTCGACGATAATTGAATTTGTCCAAACGCCTCTCAAAGTGTCTTCTTCCACTGAAGTCACCGCTGCCGTGATTCTGTTTTTGAGGTCATCCAGATTAGTCGCTAATGGTGGCACAAAAACACGGTCTTTGACATATCCCCACAATAAAAAGTCGCAGGGTGTGATGTCTGGGGATCTTGGGGGCCATGAGTGTAGCGCCAAGTCTTGGGGTCCCGTGCGACCTATCCAACGTTGAGGCAGTGTGTCTTGCGAATGACTGAGGCTAGGGGCTGTTTGTGCGCTGGGAGAGGTATCGAGCGGTGATCATTTTAAACTCTATGCCCCGCCCTTTCAATTGGTAAGAGTTTCATTCATGGGCGGTTCGTGGTTGCAGAGATTTAGCGATTTATAATCGGGTCCATCTTTTAAAAAACCCTGTATTATTAAATTAATATCTTGTAATAATATGTATTGTTTCGGATATTTAATCGAGGTGTAAATCGTCACGCCCTCCTCCCACCCCCACCCCACGCCACGTGCTCCAAAGTGATTCGCCCCATGCGCGGTCACGATTCCAGCCAAGAAATCCACTCTATTATGTTTACGATGTGGTGAACGATAGTTGACCTCGAGCACGGAGGGTCAAGGGAACCCAAACGGACGACGTATACGGACCTACAACCACGTGACTCTTCAGCGAGCGATTCAACGCGTTCATTGTGAGCTTAAGAGCCGAGTTTAATCGACGAATCGTTGCACCTGGCTATCGTAAACGGCACAAGCATGGCACAACAAATGTATTTATTCTTCACGGCAATATATAACAATATCACTCCACCGTGACGTGAACTATGTCCATGGAAGTTAATATTCTCGATTCAATATCGAGCCTCTCTCTCATGTTGGTAAGGCAAAACAGTAACAAAACAAACACTTTAAATGTGAGTCTTGTTTTAATTTTCATTATGGATTGGTTTGAAAAAGGCTAAAATGTTGACGCAACAACACAGAGGCCTTCCATTGAGAATGAATTCACGGTGTGTGTGGATGTTGGCCACTACTATTATACGTCAGTAAGATCTACATCATTGGACCTCATTTGCCAGTACCAAAATATAACAAAGTACTGGCAAAGGAGGTCTAATGATGAAGATGCTTACGCCGAGCCCTCATCACTTTGATAGTGCATTGTCTTTGAGCTGTACGCCTTTTGGCGTCATCTGGTCGAGCACCAATTGAGACGAGGCTAAAAAAAAAGAAAGCTGTCTCTGGTGTGAACCAATCAGTTTCAAGAACAATTGCTTTATATTATCAGTGTGTTTTTTGTTTGCATTTTGACTACAATTATTGTGGTTAATGCAGACATTAATTCTTGTAAAAAGGTTTCAGTTTTGTTGCCAGAAAAAATGGGAAAAAAACCCGATTATTACGTCAGTAAGATGTTTAATTTTACATTTAAACGATTCGCCACCCTGGCGATTAAGCTGTCGCGATTCTGGGGTGGGGTCACAATTCGATTCGAGATTTATTTTTCGTCTCATTTTTGTTACCGTTTCATTTATGCATTGTGTGTCTTTTCTTTGTATGTACGTTGAACTTATTTCGCATCCTACGTAGCCAAGCGCTAATCAGAGGTGCGGTGGGGGGGGGGGGATAACAAACTAAACACATAAAAAGTTCTAAAGCAATGAGTTTTCAATCTAGATTTTAAAGTGCATAGCCTCCAGTGGCTTCCTAACATCGGAAGGAAGAGCGTTCCAGACGGCCGCAGAAGCGCATCTGAAAGCGCCGCGCAATGAGGTGACCGCCGACTTTGTTCGATGGCCAGCCAAAAGCCAAATGTGTGTTGAACTTCTTTCTCACCGTACGTAGCCAACCGTCCTATTCATAGTTGCGGTGGGGGAGGGGGGTTGGGATAACAAACTAAACACGCAAAAAACTGTTCTAAAGAAATGAGTTTTCAATCAAGATTTTAAAATGGCCTTGTACAGCCGTGCTCACCCTATTCATCTAAAAGTAATGTGGCCCCATTATCACCTTCAAGTAACTTTGCGGGCGTCACAAATGATCGTTTCTCGCGCTGCCACTTATGAAGGGGGCACCGTGCCGCGAGCGTCGAAGTCAATCTCGACCGGAGGACCGTTGGCACCGCATCGGTTTTGTTGCAAACACGAACGGATTGGCGAGCGTCTATTTAGGCGTAGATCATGAAGGGGGCGTTTTTCTTATTCATTTATGCTGAGAAAAAGGAAGCCACCGAAGCTATGCGCTTTTTAAATCTAGATTGGAAACTCATTTCTTTAGAACTGATTTTTGGGGATGTTTAGTTTTGTGGTCCTTTCCCTGCACCTCCGATTAGCGCGGTTGGCTACGTATGGTGCGAAAAAAGTTCGACATACATACGGCTTCTAGCTCAGCTATCGAACAAAGCCAGCCACTGCGCTTTCAGATGCGCTTCTGCGGCCGTCTGGAATGCTCTTCTTTCCGATATTAGGAAGCCACTGGAGCTATGCACTTAAATTGAAATCTCATTTTCTTTCGAACTCCTTTTGTGTTTAGTTTCATGTCCTTCCCCGATACCTCCGATTAGCACGTACGGTGCGAAAGAAGTTCAACGTGCGTACGTACATCACCGTCGCACTGGCAGAGCGCACTTACAAGTGGGCAAGGGGAAACAAGAGACGCAGAGAGACACACGGAGACACAATGACACCGAGGGGAGCATTCCCAGGCCTCTTCCTAAAACCCATACACAATAGCAGGAACCCCCGTGAGCAAACACATCCTACACTCACAGATAGAGACAAAGCTCCCCCCACACCCCACCCTGCAGCCTGGAGTAGCTACCGGAGCAAGTGCTGTCAGCGAGCGCCTATTAAGGCCGGCGCGGCGCACAAAGAGAGGAGGAGGCGGCGGACGCAGCACCACGCCCGGCCACCTTTGTTTCTTCAGTAAACAAACGTTTGTGTTTCCGCGTGGCCACTGTTGCGCCAGCACACATGGCAAATACTGAACGCATCCGTCAGTGACACTACCCTAAAGAGAAAGACATTATATATACAATTAAATATTATAACATATTTAAAATTGGTGACATTTCGGTCAGTAGCCCTTTGTGTCATAGATGATGTTCACACTAAAGACTAAGGCTTAGTCATTGAAGGCTAAGTCAACCTAGAGCTGACCCAGGGCAGGTTCAGATACCACTTGGCACTGGTGTTATCCGTGGCTGAGAATCGAACCTAGGAAACCCGTGGCTGTGGGCGTCACTCTGTAATTGCCAAATGCTGATCGCAATGACAATACTTGCCCAGGAATTGAATCTCGGTGGGTGGAATTCAAGTTTCTGAGCTTTAGCCAACAACTCAAAATCTTGCATACACAACACAACGCACCGTACCAACCTGCGTTGCGCGCCACTTACTCTAAACTCCTTCCACACGCTCAGCCACGCAAGCACAAGCTAGTGTTGTCACACACACAGAGGCAGGAGACATCCACATAGCCGAATAGACTGTTGGGGCAAATGCTAACAACTTACATTTGTTCATAAAAAACGTTTTGGGTTAGATCGCGTTATTTATAAATGTGTCGTAACCCTCCACCACCCGACACGGCCAATCAGCAAAAAAGTGTCACGTTGACAAAAGACAAATAAATTTTGATTTAAAGCTTTTGTGACTGCAGGGATTTATATTCTTGGTTCTTTCGGTAAAGTCACGTAGAAGGGAAATAATAAAATAAAAAATATATAAAATAATAAAAATTCTCACGACGTTTCAACTGCAACACAAGCAATCATCATGATGATGATTGCTTGTGGATTTCACACCTGATGATGATTGCTTGTGTTGCAGTCGAAACGTCGTGAGAATTTGTATTGTTTATATTTATATTATTTTATTATCTCCCTTCTACGTGACTTTACCGAAAGAACCAAGAATAAAAAAGACAAATATTTCACTACTTTAGCCCACCGGTGTGTTGAAGAGTGAATCCACAACATTTACAGTTTTTGAGTAGTACGACGTGTCGCTGGCAATTACATCCAGCATCATCGGGCAATTCATCCAGCCGACGTGTTTAACTTACATTTGTCTCGCCAATGCCGATGGTAACAAACCCACGGCGCCACCAAACGAAAATCAACGTGAGTCACAACTCACAAGGGGAGTCCATAAATGACGTCACGCACCTAGGGGTGGGGGGGTCAGACATTTGTGACGATGTGTGACGAGGGGGGGGGGGGGTTGAGAAATGTGACGTCACATCAAAATGCGCAACTTTAAATAAAATATAGAATTGTTATAACACTAATTGTTATAACAACACTCCTACAACATCAGAGTGCAGCGCCACATTAAATACGCACTACGATGACAATAGTTTAAAGCGATTTGAAGCATGTTTTATTTTCAAAATGGAAATATGGTTTTGAGGGGGGGGGGCAGAGCTTTGTGACGTCATATTTGAGGGGGGGTTTGACTTTTTGTGACGCCGTGTGACGAGGGGGAGAGGGGTCAAAAATGGTCCAAAATCGCGTGACGTCATTTATGGACGGCCCCAAATGACCGATGAGACTGCGTCGTGTTTCGCCGTTGTGATGCACGGCTTCGCTGATGTCTGTTCGGGTCCTGCCGCGTTGCCGTTCGCGAGGAATCTCCGACGCGAACGCTCCACGTGACGGGGAGCTTCGTTCGGAACTCGACATTCAGTTCGCATCGGGCTGACAACGTGGCGAACGAACACGCGGTGCAATGCGGAATAAAAACATAACCTCGGCTGAAAGCTCGTGAACAAATGTGCCGAGCATCCTAAACAGCACCAAACTGACAAAGTCCTGGGACTCGGTGAAGCTTTGCTTTTCATATTTTAATAAATCACCGTCATCATCGTAATGACAACCGCTTTTCTGGGCAGCGTATCGAAGGGTGCAGCGAACTGGATGCGGCATCGCGAATTCGTTTTGTTTTTAAATTTGTTTTAGCAACAGGCGCAGCGTTAACACAACCGACGGCCATCCTAGTTCGCGACGACGCTGCCAGCGCGTGCAGCGAAACGTCGGACATCGTGCGCCGAACAGCCAACACAGCCAACACAGCCAACACAGGAGGAGGAGCACGCGCATTGGGAGAACAACAACAATAACAACAACAAGAACAACAACAAAACTTTGGAACCTCATTTGCCAGTAAAAACAAAACTGACACCTTATTTTCCTTGTAAAAAAAAGGTGTCAGTTTTGTTGCCAGATAGAAGGGTAAAAAAACAATTATCATATTTTTTTACTGCCAAATGAGGTTCCAATGGTGTAAATGCTTGCCCCGAGCTCTCATACTCTGATGGTGCATTGTCTTTGAGTTGTGCGCCTTTTGGCGTCATCTGGTCCAACACCATGTGAGACTAGGCTCTAAGAAAAGCTGTCTCGGGTGTGGACCAATCACCTTCAAGGACAGTGCATACATTATCAGAGTTGTGTTTATTCTAGATTTGAAGCTTTCGTGACTGCAAGGATTCATATTCTTAGGTTTTTTTCGGTAAAGTCACGTAGGTAAAACATTAAAAAAGTAAAATAATTTTTATTTTATTTTTTTAATGTTTTACCTACGTGACTTTACCGAAAAAAACCTAAGAATAAGAGTTGTGTTTGTTTGCATTATGACTGCAGGTATTGTGGTCTATGCAAACATGACTCCTTGTAAAAAAAAGGTGTCAGTTTTGCTGCCAGATAGAAGGCTAAAAAACCAATTATCAACAACAAAACTTTTTAATTGTAGCTAGCGACCCACCCGCCCGCGCCCGCCGGAGCGGAAACGGCGGCGAACGCGAACGCGCGCACGAACGCGCACACGAGCACCACCACTCCACCACCACCACCGCAAATGTTGTCTTTGGGTGGGGGCGGCAGTGGGGAGGAGGTGGTGGTTGTGGTGGTGGTCGTGGTGGTGGTGGGGGGGGGTGAATTCTCCTTTTCAAAGAGGTAAAAAATATATATTTCTCCAACCCCCAACCCGCCCCCGCCCCAAAAATGACTTCACGAATGTTTGCCAGGGCCTCTAAATGTCCCCGTGCTCTCCGAAGGCGCGCTGGGATCAAAGTGGCACAGCCTCGTGATGAATCCCATTCCCGTTTCACGATAACGACTGCGACGGTTAGCACCCCGACACACGTGCGCGTGTGATGTGTGTGTGATGTGTGTGTATGTGTGTGTGTTGTGTGATGTGTGGGGAGCGGTAGTGTAGTGGTTAGCGCGCTGCGCTATGAACCTGGCGACTCGGGTTCGATTCCCGCTCACGGCTAACACCAGTGACGATTATCTGAACCGGTCCTGGGCCTCCCCTAGGTCGACTCAGCCTTAAATGAGTACCTGGTGCGGTGTGTAAACATCGCCACTAGGGAGACAAAGGCGGTCGGGCGTGGTGCTGGCCACCCACCCCCTCGTGTACTGTTCCGGCCTTCATAGGTGCTCGCTAACAGCACTTGCCCCTACAGTCTGTTCAGGCTATACGGGGGATCTTTATCTTTGTTGTGTGATGTGTGTGTGATGCACTCGTGTACACGTAATAAATGGGCCATTGTTCAGTGGCGCGTGATCATTCAATTCGCAACAACGACTTGACGAATCACGGCATCTTAATCCGCCGTCGCCTATCAATTTGAGCATTGATTTGTGTCGTCTTCTCATTGGCATTGGTGTCTAACGTCGCAGTTTGCTTCCGGTGTCTACATCGCGACGTCAAATGTCTATAACTTTAAGTGTCATTTTCTTGGTTCTTTCGGTAAAGTCACGTAGGATGGAAATAATAAAATAATAAATAATAAAACATAATAAAATAATTCTCACGACGTTTAGGCCACAACGCAAGCAGCCGACCTCAGGTGGAGAACAGGTCTGTCGAGAAGACAAAAAAGAACCAAGAATAATATGAATCCCTGCAGTCACGAAAGCTTTAAATCGAAATTTTAAGTGTCACTGTCAGCCCTTTGTCAATCCACTGCCGCACGAGGGGCCCTCCCCGTGACGTGCCGGTCTAACAAGTTGGATGGACCATACTTCATACTTCACCGCACGAGTCAGAGAGTGGGCTGGTGAAGGCGATAGGAGGGACAACTTGCCACTTATGTGAACTGTGGCCAGTGCTCGAACTCGACTCTTCGACTCTGCAGGCAACTGCTCCACGGACATTTTCGTTCAGCGTATATATTCTTACTCACACTATTCTGTGCGTGTATCGTTGGGGGTATAGGTAATGAATTTTAACCAATGAACGGATGCATCGTTCCATGTCTTATGTTCAGCAGGACCCGTCCTGGCTGAGTGGCGTCCAAGCATCATCATCCACCTTCAAGCAGCAGCTCACGGCACTCAATTGTCCAGGCTCTCACCTATCCAGATTATCACCTTGATTTGAAGCTTTCGTGACTGCAGGAATCCATACTCTTTGGTATCTTCGGTAAAGTCACGTAAGTATAAAATTAAATAAATCACGACGTTTCGGGCGCAACACAAGCAGCAGACCGTGCTTTCCCACCTGATGATGGACGCTTGTGTTGCGCCCGAAACGTCGTGATTTATTTTATTTTCTACATACGTGACTTTACCGAAAGAACCAAAGAGTACAGATGATCACCTGTTTAGGCTATCACCTGTTCAGTATGTCACCTATCCAGGATCTCAACTGTTTAGGGACTCAGTCGTTTAGGCTCTCACCTATCCAGACTCTCACCTGCCCCGGCTCTCACCTATCCAGACTTTCACCTGCCCCGGCTCACACCTATCCAGACTCTCACCTGCCCCGGCTCTCACCTATCCAAACTCTCACCTGTTTAGTCTTTCATCTGTTCACGCTGCGCTTACGAGCAGCTTTGAGCTCTGGCTCCACACCTCTGAGTTCTGATTCGTGAAACGTGCACGCGTTATAAATCGTATGTATTACCAAAATAATTATAATTGTCAGCGAACTGACAGATCGTTCAGCGTCACCCGCTCGTGTGTGTGCGCTGGGGTTTCATCTGGCTACTCCGGCTCCCACCTTGCGCATCAAGCCAAACGCTCATTCATGGAATTCAGAATATTTATACCGGATGAATCCGATGAGCTATAAAGCTATTTTTTTCAGCAAGTCGCAACAACAATTGGCCGAACGTCTCTCTCCTATTCTTCCACTCGCGCACCACCAACGCGCACGATCGCGGTGAGATCGCAGCGAATACACACTCCACTCCACGCCACTCCCACGCCACCGTCCCACGTGCTCCAACGCTCACATCACAGAGTTTGTGATCAATCCACTGCTGACCTTCATCCAGCAGTGGATGAATCATGACTTATAACGATCAGCAGCGTCATCCAACAATTGCACGACGCCCCCCCCCTCCTTTTGTCCCCCCCACCCCCCAACTCTGCACCCCCCTCCCCTCCGCCCTCACTCCTAAGAGACACAATTAGAAGTGGCTGCAACCCCCCTCCCCCCCCCAGCACTCTCAACGGGTGGGTGATCATGGCAACAGAGTGGTGCCCCCCCCCACAAGCTCACGCTGCCTGTGGGAGTGTGGGTGATGATGGTTCTTGGTGTTCTCTAGGGGAGCTAAGTCCCCCCACCACCACCACCCACCCACCCCACCCACAAGCCCCATGGGGCTCATTGAGCCACACTAATGCCCACGGAGGGTGCCCCGCGTGGGACAGCGAGGCGGGGCAATGGCTGCGGCGTGCGATGGCACCCCAAATGCTGACATATTTCCATCATTTGTGCATAAATTATGGACGCGTGTGTGTGTGTGTACAGTATGTATATTCTTGGTTCTTTCGGTAAAGTCACGTAGAAGGGAAATAATAATATTTTTTTTATTTTTTTTATTTATATTATTTTATTATTTCTCTTCTACGTGAATTTACCGAAAGAACCAAGAATATGAATCCCTGCAGTCACGAAAGCTTTAAATAAAAATGTATACAGTATGTGTTGTTGAATTAATGGATTCTAGTGTAATATTATCCACGACAATTATTTATCCCGAAGAGCCCTCAATGAGCTGTGACCATATTTTTCAAGAGGATTCCCGCATCGGGGATGTTTGACCAATTTCCGTAAATCGCCGTTTGGCTTTCATGCGGGAGAAAATTCGAGTATCCGGAGAACACCCGTACAAGGCATTCAAGAATGCGCTGTTGTTCTGTCATCTCTTGACCAC